TGCTCAAATTCATTATTAAATACAACGTGTTAATAAATGACTGAGGAGCGTTAATCAAATTCCATTATATGCACAGTGAACTAAATATTTATACAATTCTAGTGCTTCTTTCCAGTCATTAAGTTTTGCAAAATTACATGTGTTTACTACATATTGGTATTCACAGTCTTCCTCGACATCAATAATCTGGGTATTTGCATACTCCACCTCTGTATCTGGTACAGGTAATACCAAGTGCTCTGCTCCCATGTGGTATTCAGGCAAATAATATAGTGAATCTGGCATTCCGCTTACGGTGTCGTGCCTTGACGTTCTAATGCAGTGTGTATTCCTGTGCTGTAATACATGACCCAAATCTGTTTGAAGCAAACTTGCGAAGCAAAACCACAAACACTCTTTTTGTAATTTGCTATCCAAAATTCGTTGAGCCTCCAAGTCTTTGAACAAATTTATCCACCATGTAAAGTGATTTCTTCTTAAGAATGACCACCATCCTTCAATTCGTTGATTATGCTGAGATGTAACTTATCTATGAGAATCGGCGTCATCAATGAAGAAACAATGAATGGCAGCCATTGTGCCATTCTCAGTGCCTAGGTCTGTATCTAGTTGTATTGGGCATCCACCGAACTCCCTAACTGCATCCACATAATACCTGGCTATATTGTCTGGTGAATTATTGGAACGTGTAACAAAGAGCCATAGTATTTATTCTACTGTAACCATCTATACAACCGTAAATAGGGAAACCAAATGGCTTCAATCTGTCGTAGCCATCGGCATGCCAGGAAAAGTTTGATCCAGGAGAGAGGTATACTCTTCTTTTAAGTAGGTGTGCTTTTCACAGCTCAGTACTTTCGGGGTCCAACTTCACGCAGGAGTTCCTGCACTACAATTCGTGGAACTCAGATACCTTGCAGCTGAAGTGTGTGCCACATTGTTCTGTATCAGCCAATACAATCAAGGCCGTCTTACATTTGTGCAATTGTTCTTCTTATAAAATATATATCGTAGTCGGGGTTTCTACTCCTCAATCCATATTGCTTAAGTCTCATCATCAATGTATGCTTGCTTTTATTTATATCATAATATTTTAAAAGAAAATTAAGGATTTCGTCATACTGATACCCACTGAAAAAGTACTTTATCAATTGTTCATCGTCAATTTCATTCGAATCAGCTGCTGCATCTGCATCATAATCATTACCTTCATGCACTGCAGCCATATCATATGTACGTACGATAAAATGTTTGATATTACGAACATTTATAGTATTGTTGTGTGAATTAAAGTTAATTTGTCATAAGAAAAATGTTATGGTATGTGAAGTTAAATTTGTATTGTGAAAAATTAGGTTTCTGTTGCGAGAATTGAAAGTACAGTTTTGTAATCTAAAGTTTTGTTTTGTAAAATAAACTTGTGTCGCGAGAAATCTAAAGTTTTGTTTTATTAAATAAAGTTGCGTTGCACGAAATTTAAGTTTTGTTTTGTTAAATAAAGTTGTGTTGCAAGAAATTTAAGTTTCGTTACGTAAAATAAAGTTGTGTTGCGAGAAATTTAAGTTTCGTTACGTAAAATAAAGTTGTGTTGCGAGAAATTTAAGTTTTGTTTTGTTAAATAAAGTTGTGTTGCAAGAAATTCAAGTTTGGTTACGTAAAATAAAGTTGTGTTGCGAAAAATTTAAATTTTGTTTTGTTAAATAAAGTTGTGTTGCAAGAAATTTAAGTTTCGTTACGTAAAATAAAGTTGTGTTGCGAGAAATTTAAGTTTCGTTTCGTAGAATAAAGTTGTGTTGCGAGAAATTTAAGTTTTGTTTTGAAAAATAAAGTTGTGTTGCAAGAAATCTAAAGTTTTGTTTTGTTAAAGTTGTGTTGCGAGAAATTTAAGTTTTGTTTTTTAAAATAAGTTGTATTGCAAACAAATCTAAAGTTTTTCTTTGTTAAATAAAGTTGTGTTGCGAGAAATTTAAGTGTCGTTACGTAAAATAAAGTTGTGTTGCGGGAAATTTAAGGTAGCGAGACTATTATTTGTGTTGAAAATTACGATTTTCACATTTATTTATTAATTGATGATATGCACTATAAACTTTCATGTTATAAAGTCAACATAACATAGAATGGCATGTAAGTTAAAATGTAGATTTTCTGAAGGGAAGCAAGGCAGCCTCAATAGTGTTTTCCAAAATCAATAACACAGGTTTAATCTGTGTGCCTATAAGTTTCAAAGATAAACTCAAGACAAAGCAATGTTAGGATGTGTTATCAGTAGCTATCTGACACACAATGAGTGTTTCCAAACATTTGAGTGGTTTGTCTCCGCCCCTGTTTGTTTCACAGATTATTCATTTGCATATGAATGTGTCAGACACAAGGTCACACAGCCATTGACAAAAAATCATTTATTTTGGTGTTTTCATATGCCGAATTTATCCAATTGATTTTTTTTTTTAATTTGATTTATGATTTATTTCACCAATAATAATAACAATTCTAGTAATCTTATAATAATAATAATAATAATAATAATAATAATAATAATTTCTTGGTGTGGACCACAGAGGTAGTTCATCCGAACTAATCTAGTCTGTGGCCCAATCCTAACCAATATACATTTCTATGCAGGCTATATATATATATATATATATATATATATATATATATATATATATATATATATATATATATACATATATA